ATCGCGCGTCACAAGGATAACGATTCCTAACTCTATCTCTATTTCTACTGTTGTTCATTTTGTAGTTTGTTGCTTGTCTTAATTTTTATTACACTTTTTTAGCCTTAAGACCCTAATCATCCCCCCTCTAGGGTCCGACAATTGGTATCAGAGCTTTGTCTCTATATTAGTTTTTGGTTTAATCACCTTAGAGAAAAGATTTTATGGAGGCTTCAATGAATGTGCATATGTTAGAGGGACAATCCACCACTAGACCACCACTTTTCACCGGTAGTAATTTTTCTTATTGGAAGGATAGGATGAGGATTTACCTTCATTGCATTGATCTTGACATCCTAGAACTCATAGAGAAGAAATATGTAGAAAAGCCCAAAGTCGGGACTATGACCGATGGAGAAAGTCATCAAGCTAATCTCAATGCCAAGGCTATGAATGCCTTAATTTGCGGTCTTTCCCCTAACGAGTATAATAGGGTTTCCACGTGTACAACCGCATACGAAATATGGGTGAAATTGTGTATTACACATGAAAGAACCCCACAAGTTAAGGAATCCAAGATTAGTGGGCTTATGCATGAATATGAGTTATTTAAGATGCTTCCAAATGAATCCATTGATGCTATGTTTTCTCGCTTCACTAACATAATCAATGAATTGCATGGTCTTAACAAGAAATTAACTATCCAAGAGACGAACTATAAGATCCTCTGTTCATTGACTCCTATATGGGAACCCAAAGCTACGGCCATAGAGGAAGCTCATGATCTCACCACTCTAGCCCTCGATGGCCTCATCGGCAAGCTTAAGGTTCATGAGAAAAAGCTCAAGGGAAAGGAGAAGGAGGAAGTGCCCCCACGGGAAGTTGAGGAGCCATCACCAAAGATGAAGATCATTGATCTCAAAGGAGCTAGTGACCACTCCTCATCATCGTCGTCGGAGAGTGAAGTTGATTTTTCTAGAGAAGTGACTCACCTCTCTAGAAGAATTTCTAGACTCATAAAAATGAACAAGAAGTTTAACCCCCGATCTAACAACAAATTTTCTTCATGTGTAGGAAAATATGTTGAATGCAATGAACCGGGCCATATCGTCAAGGATTGCCCCAAGCTCAAGGAGAAATATATAAAGTACAAGAAGAAGAAGGTTATGTATGCTGGATGGGAGGAATCCGAACCAAGTGATTCGGATAGTAATGAAGAAGGAGCTAAACTTGCTCTTCATGATCCCAACATTTGCTTCATGGCCCTTGAACAAGAGGTAATATCTGAAACGGAGAGTGAATCCTTTTACATGCAATGTGATCTAGCTACGGCTTTAGAAGAATTGAACATTGAATTTAAAAGAATGTCAAAGGAATTTTCTTCTTTTAAAAAGTTGCATGCTTCTTGTGACGTCAAACTAGAACAACTACAAACCTCTCTTGCACTAAAAGATGAATTGCTAGGAGATCTCGATTTTGAGAATAAGCAATTAAGATCCAAAATTAAAAGACTAGAAATTAAGAGTGGTAGGATTAGACCCACTCATGCTTATGCTAATCATCATTACCATAGTAGAAATAGATTTTATAGATCTTATGCTCCTACACACAAGAGAAATTTTGTGTGCACATATTGCATGAAACATGGTCATATTTCTACTCATTATAGAATCAAAGATAATCATGATTTTTATGGCATGATATGGGTACCCAAAGGTACCAAGTTTACTAACCACCAAGGACCCAAGATTTGGGTACCTAAAATTACTACACCTTAATCTCTTGTAGGGAACATCACTGCAACGACGTAGAGAGATGTGGTACCTTGATAGTGGTTGCTCACATCATATGACGGGCAACAAAGAGCTATTTGCAACCCTATCAAGGATTAAAGGAGGTAGCGTCTCCTTCGGTGGTGGAGAAAAATATAAAATCATTGGTATTAGGTGTATTGGTAAGACACCCTCTCCCGTTATAGAAGATGTTTATTTGGTTAATGTCTTAAATCATAATCTTCTTAGCATTAGCCAATTGAGTGATAAAGGTTTTGATATTTCCTTTAAACCGGACAAATGCATTGTTAGTATGAATGGAAATATTGTTTTTATTGCAAATAGAAAATCTAATGTGTACATTTTTGAGATGAATGAATTAGTGTATCAAGATGTGAAGTGTCTTGCGACAATTGATGAAAACCCTTGGATTTGGCATAAGAGGCTTGGACATGCAAACATAGAATTGATATCCAAATTGTCCAAAAAGAATCTTGTTAAAGGGTTACCAAATTTGCATTTCATCAAAGATACCATATGCGAAGATTGTGCTAAAGGTAAACAAACTAAGTCTACCTTCAAACCTATCAATGAGGTATCAACTTCTAAACCCTTGCAATTACTTCATCTAGATTTGTTTGGTCCTATGCGTGTTACCTCTCTTGGAGGCAAATACTATGTTTTTGTTATCATTAATGATTTCTCTCGTTTTACATGGACAATTTTTCTTACAAGCAAAGATGAATGTTTTGATGAATCCTCAAATCATGTTAAAAGAATTGAAAATAAAAAAGATTTGAAAGTTGTCAAAATTAGAAGTGATCATGGTGATGAGTTTCAAAATATTTCTTTTTATGATTTTTGTGCTCATCGTGGTATAACTCATGTATTTTCTGCTCCTAGAACACCACAACAAAATGGTATTGTTGAACGAAAAAATCGAACCATACAAGAGATGACACGAACTATGTTAAACTCCTTTGATTTGCCTAAATATTTTTGGGCGGAAGCCGTCAATACGGCTTGTCATGTTTTTAATCGTGTTTTGATTAGACCAAAGCTTAAGAAAACTCCTTATGAACTATTTTATGGAAAAACTCCTTTTATTGGTTATTTTCGTATCTTTGGTTGTAGATATTTTATTTTAAACACAAAAGATCACCATGATAAATTTGATTCCAAAATTGATGTTGACATTTTCTTAGGGTATGCTCCTCGAAGTAAAGCTTATAGGGTCTTCAACAAACGAACTCTTGTTGTTGAAGTATCTATAAACGTTACTTTTGATGAGACTAATATTGGTTCACAAATTATTTTGCCTAGGAAAGACGATGATGATGTTGAGGGAGGATTTGAACTTATGCAACCTATAAATACACCCTCAATAGAAGCACAAAAAGATGTGGAAAGCACCAACACTCATGTACAAGAAGAACTCCCCAAAGCATGAAAATTCGCATCAAATCAAAGATGTGGAAAGCACCAACACTCATGTACAAGAAGAACTCCCCAAAGCATGAAAATTCGCATCAAATCACCCAAAGGAGCAAATTATTGGGAGTCCTTCACAAGGGGTTGTTACTCGCTCAAAGGTTTTGAGTGGGTGTGATAATGTTGTATTTCTATCTCAATTAGAACCTAAGAAAGTCAATGATGCTTTTGTGGTTAAGGAATTTACACACTTTTCCGGATTGAGCCAAATATACTCTTATCATCTTTGTCAGTCTTTAGGTGCCGATCTTCCCCTTTGAAGCATCAAAAATCAAGTACCTAGCCACTAGTAAGATTTCATTCCACATTGAAACCTAATTTTTGAACTAATTTCTCGAATACCCAACTTCCTAGATCAATATGGATTTTATTCTCGAGTAAAAAAAAGACCTCAATTCAGACTGAAATTCTTTCTAAAGCTCAAATTACCATCATCGAATTACCATCTAACAATAGGGAAACCCTAACCTCAATCCACACAGAATCACATTACAAAATTCTCAAAGAAAAGATCAAAAGTCGATCAAAATTAGCACAAACATCATCGTGTGATCCATGATCCACCCCATTGGCAATCGGAGATTTAGCGACCGGGGACGAGAATCTCAAAGACCTCTGCGAGAATCGACGGCGGGGATCACCTTGTCGTAGCCGCGGCGGAAGCGGCCAGAGGAGGGGGCTCGGAGGCGGAGAGGATGCCGAGGGAGTGGGTGGTGGAGACACGGATCTAGAGGTGACCGACGGAGGGAAGGGTGGACTTGACAGAGCGCATGGAGGGGACGAGTTTGGCGATGAGGTTCCAGTCGTTTTATACGAGCCAAAATATCCTAGACGGAAATTTTCGTTTAGGATACATCCTAGACGAAAATTTCCGTCTAGGATACCTGGTCATATTTAAAAAAATTAAAAATAAAAATTCCGTCTAGGATACTATTCTAGACGGAAATTTTCGTCTAGAAAGTTTTATCCTAGACGGAATATTCTAGATGGAAAAATTTCCGTCTAGGATGTTTATCCTAGACGGAAATTTTTCCATCTAGAATATTCCGTCTAGGATACACGATTTTCTACTAGTGTTAAGTGCAATAAGTTGGAAACCATATATTATTTAAGTGCAATTTACGCACTTTTAATATATGAAAGTTGTTGTATTCCCCAAATTAAGATCCTCTCAGCATCATCAGTTTTCAATTTCGATGGTCATGTCATTCAACAAATGATATCAGCAGTCCTTGATTTCTAATTTGAAGAGTTACGATTGTTGTGATCAGTTCACAAAGGTCCAAATACACAACAGCGAGAGTATGTCATAGTTTGACAGAAGGATGCTGCCGCATTTGTCAAAAAATTAAGGGGTTTCTGTTTTTCCACACGAGTCCTTTACATCTCTATTATTTTGAAATTGGTCCTCAAATCATTGAAATTTCTATGAGACCCTTCAATTATCCTCACAAGCTGTTTCAAATTAATCCCTCCAATCAAAAGCAGAAGACGCAAATGGAGGGATAAATTCATAACAAGTTATGAAAGCAAGGGACCTAATAGCACTTGCAGTGATTTGAGGGACTAGTTTTGACATATTTTAAGAATTTGAGCACTAATAGCAATTTCAATGATTTGAGGTAACTAATTTTAACATAATTTAAGTTTTTTTGGGGGGTTAAGGGTTTTTCTGTGCGTGTGTTTAATAGCAATTCAATGGTTTAAAGGTCTTAATTCAAAATGTTACTAGAAAACATATAGCATTCCAATAGAAACCTCAAATACATAATAGTCTTTTTTTTTTTTGAACGAAAATACATAATAGTCTTTACATTCATACCTCATAAAAATTACTAACACAAGACTACGAATACTCATAAATAAGAAAATAGTCCCAATCTTTATATAACAGGCTAATTAACAAACTCCATTGGTCTTCTTACTCAAAACAAACTTCTTCCAAGCCTCCGTCACCGACCTCTGAGTCTCAAGTGCATTCTTCTTAACAACCCCATTAGTATTCCTCATCACCTTCTTCTCTTCACTAGTCATAAGCAACTTTGAAGGCAATGTATCGAGCTCATGAAGAACCTTCTCTATATCAAGAACGAGCCTCTCAGCGAGCGTTCGACTGAAATCCTCTCTAATAACGACTCGTAAGACTGTGATGTGTTGTGCATCGGGTGGCATTGTGTAAGCTGGCACGATCCAACCGAAACGTCTCAGGTGGTCTGACACTTCAAACTCATTGTGTCTGGTTCGATCTTTGAGCGAGAATGCAACTAAGGGGACGGCATTGTCCTTGGAAACGATATTGAATCTACCGGTTTTTTCGAGGCCTTGTTTTAGGACCATTGCGTTTTCTTGGCAGTTCTCCATTATGTTCTTGTATCCCTGCGTAAGAAGTCAAGTAATGATTACAGTTCATAAAAGTGATTCGGATGTTTCTTGAAGAAGAAAGGATCGTGAAGGGACATTAAATTTGATCTCCAGCATTAGGATTTTTTTTTTTTTTGTTTGTTATAACACGATATTGTTGTATTTTGTGTTGCTCCGGTTGTGAGCTTGCAATAAAATCTCATTTACCAGATCGAAAGAAAAATATTAATGTTGGGCAAATTATGGAAAATTTTCTTATAGTTTATAGCAAATGGAGAATATCAGAATTAGTTTTTAAAAGTGACATTTCGTCATTAATGTTAATAGAAAAATCATATACATGTTTATATAGGACTTGATGTAGTTTTCACGTTCTGTTGTTATAGCCTTTTACACTTTTACATCCAAATTAACAATATTGAAGAAACTTGAGTATCAAATGTCACTATTAAAGTGAATCATGCCTTGTCTGATCAGACGCATTTTTAGTTCCGTTTTTTTAGCTTCATCATAAATTTTTTTCCCATCAATTCGATGCTTCATTAAATTCTTATTTTATTAATAAAAGAAAGGCATACCTAAACTAAGCATCCACCATAGTTTCACACAACTAAGGAGATAACAAGCCGAGATTAGATGGCAGAGAGAATCATTACCTCGAACCCCAAGCGAATTAACTGATAGTATTGCGCGATAATCTGACTAGAACCTGTCACAAAGCAATAAAATCGCTATTGGTATACAATGATACAATATTGATTATTAATTTGGGTTAGTATATACGAATGAATTGGATGCTACCTTTGGAGAAATTGAGAGTGAAAGTAGGTTGATCAGCTCCGAGATAATTAATATGGAAAACGAGTTCCTCAGGCAAGTCCTCTTTGCTCCTCCAAATGACCCACCCAATGCCTGCATACACTAGGCCATATTTGTGGCCGCTAACGTTGATGCTCTTCACTAGAGGAAGTCGGAAGTCCCATTCTAGCTCCGGGTACAGGAACGGGGCAATAAATCCACCACTTGCTGCGTCTACGTGAATTGGTGTATCCCACCTAAAACGTTGGAAATTTCACGTGTGAGTACATATTAGCGCATCGAAAGAATTAGAAAAGAGCGGCGGATTTAAAATAGAAAGTTGGGATTAATACCTACCAAAATATCTGATTAAGCCCACCAAAATATCACATTTGTACACAGATATTGAAATCTATAGACTACGGAAAATACTAAGATGTTGATTCGTCATGTTGTTCCATGACCGTCAATTTAGATATAAAGTCAATAAACGAAGATCTAGCACATTTAAGATTTTAATTTAGGTTGATCTTCACTCTCTGTCTAAGAGCAATTAACTCCCAAGAAAGTCCAATTCTTACCAACAATAATTAGACACCTAGTGATGCTAATACATGTAATAGCTAAAGTTGCATTGCTCATTCAAATGACATGTCCTTACCCTGTTTCTTTGTTCTTCTCAATCAAGAGGTCGTTCAGGAGCTTGACATCCTCAAATTCTCCATTAAGTGTCGAACCCAAGATCGCAGCCACACAAATAGTGTTCTCGTCTACCGTGTCCACAGCCTTTTCAGGGTCCATAACATAGTACCCATCTCTTAGCTTCACTTCCTTCAGCTCAACTTCAAAGTACCTCGCAAACTTCTCCCAGCAAACCTGAACCAAAGCACAAATAACAATTGCAAATTTGAAAAAAAAAAAAAAAGAATTTGTTGAGATAGATTGATTGGCTGTTGATATTGTTTACTTGGACATTTGCTCCGGTGACAATGTTGGGCTTGTCACAAGGCTTTCCCTCGGCCCTGCGTTTGTTCTGCCACCTCCTCTTGAATGCTAGCCCAGCAAGCATAATGGCCTCAGAGGAGCCCACTGTTCCAACTCCTACCGCAGTTTCCGAGTCACCAAGCGGAGCATTGAAGAGATGGGCAATCATATTCACGCATCGATTCTGCAATATAAGTTGGGTTAACAACCGATATTAGTGTTTTCCATTAAAATTTGTGAGGAAATAATTTTTGTACTCATTTTCTGTTTTCTAACATGTGTAATCGAAAAATAGGCTTACTATCACTTAAATGCCCTATAGTTTTCCCAAACTTACCCTTAAATGACCTCTTTTTTTAAACCGAACAAAACATTGCCCCAAAAATATTTAAGTCATGCATATCAATGCCCTAATGTTTCATAATGTTACTCACGTTGACGCCCTCTTGTTTACCCAATATTGCCTATAATGGGAGCGTCCATTCGCACTAGTGTCCAGATTGGACCCGGCCAGGCTACCGTCAGGCTCGGACCAGTGAAAAGCCCGGGTTTTCGGTCCTGACTGGGCTCCGGGCCTAGGTCCGGGTAGCCTCGGACCGGCCCGCACCGAGGGCATGGGAAAATGGCCGAGTCAGGGTACACGGGTTCGGGTCTGGCCCGGATCGGGGCCCGGTTCCGGTGGCAAAAAAGGACCAGTGGGTTCAGCTCGGCCCGGGGATCAACGCTCAATTTTTTTATTGTTGGGTCAGGTGGCCCGGACCAACCCGGACATGGCCCCATCTAATGATCAAAATCTAACTGTTGGATCAGGCG